ACGGGGCGCGGGGGCGACGCACGAGCTCTGCCCTGCAGCGAGGGCGGCGGCGGAGCCGGGGAAGGCGCGCGAGGGGGAGCTGCAAAGCGAGGACCCCCTCCCGCACCCGCCATCTTGTTTCTCCCCGGTCCTGGCAGCCGAGCGGCTAAGCCCCGCCCTCCCCGTGCCCGCCTATTGGCCAGGCTAGAAGAGAGTTCCGCCTCTGGGCGGCCGCTCTGGGCGCCCGGGTTCCCGCTTGACAGGCAGGTCGGGAAGCCAATAAGGGCTCGTCTCTCCGCCCCCGCCCCCTCGTTCGGTGGCGCTCGCTTTTTCTGTGAGGGTCGGGCTCGGCGTCAGTCTGTGGTGCGCTCATCCTCTGGTCTTAGGGGAGATGTTTCTCTCCTTTCTCCTTCGGGGGTCGGGGCGGTGAAGAATGTTCTGGAAGAGGCGCCCCTTTCACGAGGCAGGGACCTGGTCTGGGGGTCTTACCTGGTCTTCCTGAGTCTCCCGTGTGGCGTGCAGGGCGGGCTCGGTCCAGTTGTTGAAAACTCCCCACTCGGGAGCGAGGGTGAGGTGGGCGAGTTGGGGTTCAGGGGCCGCTAAGGACGGCTCTGGAGGGGGTGTTGGGGATACGAGGGAGTGTGTGTAAGGTAAGAGTTGTGTACGTACGGAAACTCCCGCCAAAAATAACCTGGTCTAGCAGTTAGCTCCTTGTAGGCGAGAAACTCTTTCCCTGCGGCCGCAGCTCTGCCCGCCGCTTGCTCCCGGGGACAGGGACTGGAAGTTGGGGATGGGTTGAGAGACGGTTCCTGGGACTGCAGAATGGGTAGAGGCAGGCACTGTCGACTCTTCAAAATCGCTACTGAAGTGTGCGTTCCCTCCCCAGAGGCTCCTTGCCTCTGGAGGGTTGGGGAATGCGTCGCCCTTGGCTGGGGCTGCTTCTGAAACCGGTCTAGTGCCCCCAGGGCTTCGGGAACCTCAACAGAGTTGCTGTCACGGTTCTGTTGCCTTTTACTCCAAATGGTGTTGTGTGCCTGCCTCATTTGGCTCCTCAGCCAGGTTAGTTTAAGTCACCCTTTGGTATTTAAAGGGCCTATCACTATGGTTGTCAGTGATAACTCTTAAGTTAGCGTGTGCCAGGCGGGTGGTGGCGAACACTTTGAGTTCAAGGCCGGCCTGGTCTGCAAGATCTAGTTCCTGGACAGGCTTCAAAGTTACAGAGAAACCCTGTCTCGAAAAACAAACAAAACAAAACAAAAGAAAAAGAGAATAGGCAGACAAAAAAGTAGATATTTTTCTTGCTTTTATATATTTTTAAATTTTCTTACAGTATGTGTGGTGGTATTTTGCCTGATATATATTATTCCTGGTCCTTCTGAGAGTTCAGATACCAATACCTTGGAACTGGAGTTACAGATGTTGTGATCGACGACGTGGGAGCTGGGAACCAAACCTAAGTCCTCTTAACTGCTGAGCTATATTTCTGGCCCTTATATATTTGTTTTTTGTTTTTTCTTTTTTTAAGGGAGAGCCTCACTCTGTGCTATGGCTGGTCTGAAAAAAACCATGTAGATGTGGCCGGCCTCAAATTCCACAGTGATAGGCCTGTTTCTCTCTCTCAAATGCTGGGATTCAAAGTATGCCACTACAGCCAGCACTGCCCTTGATCTGTGGGTGACATGTGGAGACACGGGGACAAGAAAAACTTTGTTCAGGTTACGTAGGACCAAGATTAGAACGTAGATTGTACAGAACATCTTTGTAAAGAATGCGGCACCTCACTGGTGTTCTTCACCCTCCAGCGTGAACGGGAGATCTGGAGTCACGTCAGCTTCGGCTGAGTCAGTTTTCTGAGCTTTTCTTCATGCCTGAAATGGAGATAATGTCTGCACAGCCTCCCGAGGTAGTTGTGAGAAATAGTAAAAAGAAAAGGCCATTGTAGTTTGGTAAAGTACGCCGAGCTGTTGTCATCTTCCTGGCCGTGATGGCCTTGGGAACTGCCTGTCACTCCCTGCTCCTTAGGGCTTGGGGTAGTTCCCTGGTCCAGAGAATGCTGTGGGAAGCATAGGGTAGATTAGATGGAAGGGTCACGGCATAGAGATTTCTGAGCTACTTAAAATTTGAAAGATTCCTTAGAGGCATTCCCGTAGCTTTCAGGGTTTGTAGTTGGAAATGTCCTGAGCAGTTTCAGTACAGCCTTCCACACCAGGGGACTCCTGGGAATTAAAGTTTGAAGCATTTCAGATGCCTTTACTCTGGACAGGACCAAGAGTTAGGATTTCTAACCATGGTAAGATGGTTTGGGAGAGCCCTTAGACCTGCGACTTTATTTATTTCTTTAGAGACAGGATCTCATGATATAGCCTTGGCTGTCCTCGAACTCAGAGGTCTGCCTGCCTCTGCCTCCCAAGTGCTAGGATTAAAGGTGTGTGCCATCATCACTGCCCAGCCTTTTTTTTTTTTTTTTTTTTTTTTGAGACAGTTTCTGTGTAGCCCTGGCTGTCCTGGGACCCCATTGTGTTGATCAGACTGTCCTTGAACTCACAGAGATCTGCCTACCTCTGCCTCCCAAGTGCTGAGATTAAAGGTGTGTGCCCTCACTGCCTGGCTCGGGTTTGCAATTTTAAAGTAATCAGAAACAAAAAGTTTCACTGACTAGCCGGGGGCGGGGTGGCACACGCCTTCTCAGGAGGCAGAGGTAGGTAGATCTCTGAGTTCAAGGCCAGCCTGGACTATAAGAGCTAGTTCCAGGACAGTTAGGCCTGTTACATAGAGAAACCATGTCTTAAAAAACCAAAAATAACTATTTCACTGACAAGTGATGTTTGTAAAAAGACTTAAAGAAGGTGACGCTGCCTCATGGGTGCTTCACAGTGCTGTGGTGTGGAGGAAACAGCCGGATCTCTCGGTGTCCCCTTGATGGAAGCGAGTGCCTGTCGCACCGAATATCCAGTTCACACTTTTGTGGTCTTTCTCCTCAGGCTTATCTTTGCGGTTTCCTGTTGCCATGAGGAAGCCTCGTCGAAAGTCACGGCAGAATGCCGAGGGCCGGAGGTCCCCATCCCCTTACAGTCTTAAGTGCTCACCCACAAGAGAGACCTTGACCTACGCCCAGGCCCAGAGGATTGTGGAGGTTGACATCGATGGCCGCCTCCATCGCATCAGCATTTATGACCCTCTCAAGATCATCACTGAAGATGAGCTCACCGCGCAGGATATCACCGAGTGCAACAGCAACAAGGAAAACAGTGAGCAGCCTCAGTTCCCCGCCAAGTCCAAGAAACCCTCGTCTAAAGGCAAGAAGAAGGAGTCCTGCTCCAAGCATGCATCAGGCACCTCCTTCCACCTCCCGCAGCCCAGCTTCCGTGTGGTGGATACAGGTAGCCAGCCGGAAGCACCCCCATTGCCTGCTGCTTATTACCGCTACATTGAGAAGCCCCCCGAAGAGCTGGATGCAGAGGTGGAATATGACATGGACGAGGAGGACCTTGCCTGGCTAGACATGGTAAATGAGAAGCGCCGCGTAGACGGGCACAGTTCGGTGTCGGCAGATACCTTCGAGCTGCTGGTGGACCGGCTGGAGAAGGAGTCGTACTTGGAGAGTCGCAGCAGCGGCGCTCAGCAGTCACTAATTGATGAAGACGCCTTCTGCTGTGTGTGCCTGGATGACGAATGCCACAACAGTAACGTCATCCTGTTCTGTGACATCTGCAACCTAGCCGTGCACCAGGAGTGCTATGGCGTCCCCTATATCCCAGAGGGCCAGTGGCTCTGCCGCTGCTGTCTGCAGTCTCCCTCTCGGCCGGTGGATTGTGTCCTTTGCCCCAATAAAGGTGGGGCCTTCAAACAGACCAGTGATGGTCACTGGGCCCATGTAGTCTGTGCCATCTGGATCCCTGAAGTCTGCTTTGCTAATACCGTGTTCCTGGAGCCTATTGAGGGCATCGACAACATTCCACCTGCCCGCTGGAAACTAACCTGTTACATCTGCAAGCAGAAAGGACTGGGTGCTGCCATCCAGTGCCATAAAGTGAACTGCTACACTGCCTTCCACGTGACATGCGCACAGCGGGCTGGACTCTTCATGAAGATTGAACCCATGAGAGAAACCAGCCTCAATGGCACCATCTTTACTGTGCGGAAGACAGCCTACTGTGAGGCCCACTCTCCGAGAAAGGGCGACTCACCCAGAAGCCTCAGTGAGGCAGGGGACGAGGATGGGCTGAAAGAGGGTGGCAGGGAAGAGGAAGAGGAAGAAGCAGGGGAGGAAGATCAGGAAGGTCATGGTGGGGTGGGCAGCCTCCTCAAGGGGGTGTCCAAGAAGAATAAGATGAGTTCAAAGCAGAAGATCAAGAAGGAGCCAGAGGAAGCTAGCCGAGAGACACCTTCCACCATTGTCCCCATGGTCACTGTCCCACAGATACCCTCTTACAGGTGAGCCTCATCACAAGGACTCTTGGTTTGGTCCTCACCCTAGGCCAGGTCTTCTCCAAATATGGTTGATGAATACCTGAGCTCCTCTGGGCTTCCGTATTCAAGCTTGTTTTGTGGTTTTGGCCGTACCCTACAAGTAATGTGTTTCCTCTAGTTCTGAGTGACATACATCACTTATTTGCTTAGAGACTCGTGGCAGTGTATCACCTAAGGTGGTAGTTCTCACGGTGACACTGAATGGCACTGAGAACAGGATGGTTCTCCACTGTTAACTAATCCATGGATTTCTAGGTGGTTATCATCTCTGGTCTTTGTACATGCAGGCTGTGTCCTTCACATCACCTCATCTTTGTGACCACCCTGAGGGCTCTCACAGAGGGTCCCTAAAACCCACGTGGGGACAGAAGTATTCTAAATGGGGAGCTACTGTGCTAAGGGCTCAACACCTGCCTTCCCAAAAGTACTGCCCTGGGAAAGATGGGGGCTTTTTATCCACGAGGGCTGTGGGAGGCGTGATCCTCCTTGAGAAGTTTTAAATTCAGGGGAAAGTTCAGCATTATAGCCAAGCCACCAGAACCCTGCCTGAGAGTCTGTAGAGAGATCACTGCCTGTGTTAAACCGTCAGGCGGTAGCTGGGGCTGCTGGAGGGTGGGTAGCTTAGGGAAGATTTTTCCAGCAGAGGCCACTTCAGGGTGACTCCTTTAAAAAGTAGACAGTGTAGCTGGGTGTAGGGATGCACATCTTTAGTCCCAGCACTTGGGTGGCAGAGTCAGGTGAATTACTGGGAGTTTGAGTCCAACCTGTTTTACAAAGTAAGTTCTAGGCCAGCCAGGGCTGCACAGTGTGACCCTGTCCAAGGGCCGGGGAGGGGGAGGGTAAAGGAAAGGAAGAAAAGTATGTAGCATTAGAGGAGGAAGGATCTTGGAGACTGTTCATCTAATGTAGTCCTTGCACCTTCTCCCACATTCCCAGATGAAGAAGCCACAGCCACAGGAGGTAAAGTTGTTGGCTCCTTTATTCATTCAATGAGGTGTTTATTGAGCACTTACTATAAGCCACATTCTGTTCTAAGGGGTCGGGGTAGGTGGAAAGGACAGATTCGGGGCTGTAAGTGCTAAGACAAGAAGGTTCGGGACAGAGGAGTACTGGTAGGTTGTAGATCAGCCGTATGAGGGAACAGGCGGCCCGACTTGCTGCACGGGGAAGATAGCAGAACAAGATGAGGACAGGGAGGCTCTGGAGAACTTTGGCAACTCCTGAGTGTGTCTCCTAGACACAGCTGGCCTTGGTCGTCTCCTGAGGTAGCGGTCAGTGCCTAGTCCCCGTTTGTAGGGTGTCTGTGCCCTGGGGCCACCTTTTGGTTGTCATAGCTGCTGTCTGAGGAGCCGCTCTACTGACTAAGAACAAACACGCCATTTAATACTCGTGTGACCTTTGGTAAGTTGCTGAATTGCTCTAAGCCAGGGTATGTGGGCAAACTCACCAGATGGAGCTCTGAGAAATAATTTGAGTCAAATACTTAGCACAGTGCCTGGCAGATAGTGAGCGCTCAATAAATGGTGGCTGCTGCTGCTGCTTCTGTTACTGTTACTCCTCCCCTACCTGCATAGGTGCTGTTGACCCCACCTTAGCCAAGAGGCAGGGGAAGGGAGGGGGGCTGGCCTGCAGGCGGGCAGGTGTGCTTGGCATGGGTGTTGGTGGGGAGCTGGCCTTCGGGGAAAGGCCTCGGTAAGCTTGGCTTTGGGGCAAGAACATCTGACCGGAGATGGAGAAGGCTTTGATGGGCAGTGCCCACTGAACACGCCTATCTTTCTTAAGTTTCACCTCGATTAGCTACACTTAGCTCTCTTTCTGTGTAGTGGGGCGAAGAGATAAAGCAGAGGAGGCTACAAGAGCACCCGGGGGCCTTGTTTACCGTGGGCGTGTATTGTGGTAGTGAAGGGGCCATGGATTCAGATCCCCCTTTAGCCACCATCTTCGCTATGTTAGGAGCACTCACTGGTCAGGTGCCTGCCTTTAGTTAGATGTGAGAGTGGGGCTGCTCTTCCTGAAGGTGTTCATTGGACCCTTACCTGCTCTGCCCCACGGTGTCCCTAGTTTGAACTCAATCTTAAGCCTTTGCTGACTACGATATCAGAACTTATGTCCTCTTATATATCTAGATTTTTGTTGTTGTTTTTCTCCTTTTTCCATTTGGTTCAGAATTAGGCATTTTTGGGATGCTAAGAGTTTTTAAATGAAAAATCAAAGATCAGCTGGGTATTGCCTATAAATCCCAGTTACTTGGGAGGCTGAGGCCAGCCTGGATAATATAGTGAGACCCATCTCTCTTACACACACGCAAAACCCCTCCGAGGTCGGATTACTCTAAGGATTCCATGTGGGTGCAGGAAGCAGTAACCTGGTATACTTTCTTTGAGCTTGGTCGTGGGCTACCCCAGGGTTTGGTGAGATCCTCCGCCACCAGAGGCAGGAAACTGGCCACATAGCACACAGCTTACTCAAATTCCTGTTTTCTTTTTGCTGCTTTTCATCAAGAGGGGACTGTGGGTTGAGGAGCGCAGGCCTGTTTCTCTGTACTGTCCTGACAGTGAGTGACAGCAGGCAGCAGGGCTGCTGTGAGAGGGCCCTGTGGAAGAGCAGTTGGAACCCGTCCTGCTCAGTCTGAGCTGCTTAGCTCTGCTGTCTTTTCTCGGCTCTCCTGAGATGAGGCGTTTGGTCACTCTCTGGTTTCCTCTAGAAGGTTCAGAAGTGGACCAAGATCTGGATAGGATGTGCAGTTGTATGTAGCCCAAGCTTCCTGCTGACCAGTCTCTCACCCCTTGCCTCTACTCAAGGTTGAACAAGATCTGTAGTGGTCTGTCCTTTCAGAGGAAAACCCAGTTCATGCAGCGGCTCCACAACTACTGGCTGTTGAAACGGCAGGCTCGGAATGGTGTCCCCCTCATCAGGCGCCTGCACTCCCACTTACAGTCCCAGAGAAACGCCGAGCAGGTAGGTACAGTGATGGCAGAGGCTCGTGGGGGAGGGATGATGTGGAGGTGGGCAGCATGCCTCCTCCCTGAGCCTTCTGAGTAGCCTTGGCCTGTCGGGATCACCTCAGAGTGTTCTGTCCGGGAACTACCCAGATCCTCAGACCTGACAGCTGCCTCTTCTGAGGGAGACACTTTGCATTGGTTTCTCTACTAAAGGGCTTCAGAGAGGCCATTCCTCTTGGGTTAATTTGACCAAACTTTAATTCTCCACTTCTCTCCCTGTGCCGTCCATCTGTCTGGCCTATCTGTAGTTTGTCTGTTGCCTACTCTGTGTATGTGTGATCTGTTGTGCCTCTGAGGTGTGCCTGTGTGTGATGTCTGTCATGCCGGTCCTCTTAACTGCTGCACCATCTCTCCAGCCCAGATTCCAATCATTTTACCCCAGCTGACCCAGAAACATGCAATACTGCAAAGAAACCATAACAAAATGTATCCACACATTGTTTCCAAAATTTATGGTGGAAATTTGTCTTAAGGTCGCTTCTAATCTGTTGACGCCATTCAGCAAATGATTATCACAACACTCATGCACTCTCACGCACGTGCACACACACAGACACTAGTCTGGGGCAGAGACATAGAAAAGGACTTAACAAGCTGAAAGCCATGCTTAGGTTGTAAAGCTGATCGCACAGGAGATCCCAGGCCAGAAGGCTGATTCCATTGCTTCTCTTAAGGCAGGGTAAACTTAGCAGGCTGAGTGCCCAGTGGGGCAGCAGATTGAGTGCACAGCCTCTTTTTTCTTTTTCTTTTTAAACAGTATTTCTCTGTGTAGCACTGACTGCCCTGGAACTCAGAGATCTGCCTGCCTCTTCCTCTCAAGTGTATAGTCTTAAATGATCTCAAGCCATATTAGTAACTTGGCTGTAGAATCTGCCAAAAGTTCAGTTTCTTTGAGGCCAAGAGCCGTTTGTTAAAAAACAAAAACAAAAAACCAACAAAAAAAAAACAAGGCTTGACTTAAGGATAAACTCTAGGGTAGTGTCCAGTCCAATGTCGCAAATACATAGGCAAAATACTCCAGATGTTGGGCTGAGTGAGAGCCAGAGTGGACCCACTGTGTAAAGTAAGAGCAGGTGACCTTTGCCCCCAAACGTCATGTTAAATATAGAATTGATGATCTACCCTTTAGCCTGCAGCCTGTCAGGTATGGCAGCCGTTCTGCGCTAGCAGTCACTGCACGCTAAGTGTCCTCTCTAGTTCCCTTCCCATGTTCATGTCATTGGTTATTCCTTCCTCAGTTGTCCCCTTCTGTCTGTCCTTGGGTCTCATGCTACTGGACGTCCTGTTTACATGTCATAGACAAACTGAAGCACTAACTTCTATCTGGTCCCTCTTTTTTTATGTTCATTTTTGAGACAGGGTTTCTCTGTGTAGCTCTGTAGTGCTGGGATTAAAGGCGTGCACCAACACCACCCTGCTAAAGTTTAATTTTTTACTATTTAAGTGCATGCGTGTGTGTTTGTGTGCACTTGTGTTTGTGCAGTAGTGCAGGTGCCTGTAGAGACCGGAGGCAGATCCCTCTGGAGCTGGGGTTACAGGAGGTGGTTGTAAGTCAGGTCCTCTGCAGCTCTTAACCATTGTGCCATTTCTCCACCCTGAATTCACTGATTTTTGCTGTTTTTACCAAAGTATTTTCAATCCCACAAGCTACTAGTGAGAACCTGAACTTGTTTTCCAGCCAAGACACAGCTTGAGGGTGAGATTCTTTCAACCTCTGCTTGCTGGTTTTCTCCTGAAATTCTTTCCAGTTCTGAGGGCCGTAGCTGAGCAGCCATGGCTCTGGGCCTGCGGAAACAGTCCCAGGTTACTCTTCACTGTTTGTTCTTTTTTCCTGTTTTTTTTTTTTTGTTTTTTTTTCCCTTTGGGTTTTTGAGACAGGGTTTCTCTTTGTGGCCCTGGCTGTCCTGGCACTCGCTCTGTAGACCAGGCTGGCCTCAAACACACAGAGATCTGCCTGTCTCTGCCTTCTGAGAGCTTAGATTAAAGGTGCGCGCCGCAGCCACCCAGCTACTGTGTGTGCTGTTTGTGCAGCACCAAAGAATCCCCATGGGGCTGGGGGGGGTGGCCCAGTGGTTAAGAGCACTAACTGCTCTTCGAAAGGACCTGTCTTCAATTCCCAGCACCCACATGACAGTTCACACCGGTCTGTAATTTTAGTTCTGGGGAATTGGCACCCTCACACAGAATATATACACCAGTGTACAATAAATAAATAAATCTTTTTTTAAAAAGACCTTTTTAATAAGCTTCAGCTTTGCTTTAGTAAAAAAGAATCATCATGGTGTCAGGAAGCTTGGAGGAAAGGTCCCGGGTGGTGTTGGGGCCGGGCTCTCAGCAACCATGGTGCATGTGGGGGAAGCAGGGGCTGTGGGAGGACGGAGGCCACAGTCGCTTGTTCTTGCCTTGCTCAGCGGGAGCAGGACGAGAAGACAAGTGCCGTGAAGGAAGAGCTGAAGTACTGGCAGAAACTCCGGCACGACCTGGAGCGGGCGCGCCTGCTGATCGAGCTCATCCGCAAAAGGGAGAAACTCAAGAGGGAGCAGGTGAGCAGGCACCCAGCCAGGCTCTCTAGGTCCCTCTCTTCTCTGTGGCATCTCTGGTGCTAGCGTTCTTTTTCCCCTCAGCACTGAGTGCTGTGGGCTCTGTGGTCGGCCCACTTGGTTTTGGGTGGAGTGTTTCTGGTGGCTTCTGTTTTGTGGTTCAACTCGTTTGGCCTGGAGCCTAAGCTTACCTAGTCCTCCTGCCTGAGCCCATGACTGGAGTTCCTGTTTTAGGAGGTTTGGGAGGGAGATTGACCTGAACATTTTGAAAAGCTTCTGGAGCCATTGCATGACATTGCAAGATGACAACCTCTATCATGAGGTTCTCCCTGGGCCTTAAATATTTATGGATTTGGAGTCATTTAAAATGACCAGGCTCAGTTCAAGAACGTCCTAAAAGTCCCTGCCCACGGGGGGTGATAAGGTCGGTGGCATAGTGCATGGAGCGTGAGGTGTGTAGCCAGACTGCTGCTTTCTGTTTCTGTAGCGTTAACTACTTAATCTCGGAATCCCTCTATTTCCTCGTCTTTAGCATAGTGGTAACGGCAGAGCTGACATCATAGAGATGAATTCATGTACGTAAAAGTTGAGACTCGTGCCTGGCACATGAGCGGGCAAGGTGGTGGCTGCTGCTGTCATCAATGGTCGTACCGATTCTCTGCCCTGCTGGAGCGTCTGCTGGAGCGCTCCGCACGTGGCCCAGAGCAAATACTATTAATTGAATGGCTGACAAGCCCAAACCTCTCTCTGGTCCAAGAATTGCGGCTGTTACTCGCCTGCTTTCAAGGCTTGGGTTCAAACTGCCCTCCTCCTTTCATTCAGTTTAAGCGCAAGTCCTTCTTTCCTAGGTCCACAGCTTGAGTTCCACTCTGCATCCTGGGCAGCTCTCCCTGTGCTTAGCATGAGTGGCCAGGGGCATCTCTTGAGATCTCCACAGGTCAAACTATAATTTGTATCCAGGCTAGGTCCTGTAGCTTAGATTGTTCAGGAAAATGAGAGGAAGGGGAAGAGGTCCCGGCTCTGGGTAGGTAGGCAGGTTGATGTTGATGTGGACAAGAGGCAGGAAGGAGAGTCTCCGGCTCTGTGGTGTTCATGTCAGGGCACACAAGTTAAAATAACATTGTCCAGGGTACCACTGCAGGTGCTGCTTGAGTGATGAGCCTGGACTCCCGGTCACCCTGGGCCCACACAGATGTTCTCAGCGAGAGCGCTCAGTGCTCATGAGAGTCACATGTGCTCACATTTGTTTCATCCGTGTGTTTTAACTAAGGCCCAGGCTCAAACGCTTCCTCAGTTTTTTTTCCAACCCATGGGCAACTCAATCATGTCGCTAAACTTTATGTACCATATTTATAAAGTGGGGTATTAATTTCTGCTTCAGTTATTATGTCATTAATTGAGATAATACAGGAAGAAGAGCTGGGTGGCATTATGGTTTGGAGTACACTGTGGATGCTGACTGGAGCTTCATGCTAACCTATCCCATTAGCTTTGTGACCTGGAGCCAGTTACCTGGTCTCTCTGTCTCCCCTTCTTTGTGAAGTGGAAGTGTCTGTCTATACCTACCTGGCACACTCAGTGTTACATAAAGTGTTTAGCCTGGCCACCCCACGTAACATATACACATAACTAAAAATTAAGTAAATTGTTGTTGTCTATTTTATTCTTTTGGCATTTGGGGAAACTGCCACCCAGCTCCCAGATAAATCACACATGGAGGCTTATTCTTAGTTATGGATACACGCCTTAGCTTGTCTTGTTTCTTCCCAGCTTTTCTTAACCTATGTTAACCCATCTACCTTTTCCCTCTAGACTTTTTAAATCTTTTTTACTTCTTTATAGCTTATTTTCATTCTTACTCCATGGCTGGATGGGTGGTCCCTGACATCCTCTCCTTGTTCTCTGACTCTTGCTCTTTTCTCCTATTTATCCTCTCTGCCTGCCAGCCCCGCCTATCCTTGCTCCTGCCTTTCTATTGGGTATTCAGCTCTTTATTAGGACCATCAGGTGTTTTACACAGCCACAGTAACACAGCTTCACAGAGTTAAACAAATGCAACATAAATACAAGTAACACACCTTAAAGTAATAATTCCCCAACAGCAAATCTTTTAAAAATGCATAGACCATTACTTGGGACCTAACATGGATTATAAAAGTGTTAATTATTATAATCAATGATTGTTACAACTTCTGTATGTTTTGGTATGGTTCTTGATACACAGAAAACATTTATAAAGTAGCTGTTTGTTCTAATCTATTTTCTGCTGCTATAATAGATTATCATAGACTGGGTCATTTACAAAGGAGAGTTGGTTAGGCTCCCAACTCTGGAGGCTGGGAAGTATGGGCATGCTGACAGACTGGTGAGAAGGCACCATACCACAGCTCGTCTTGTGGATAGCACGAGTGGAGAGTTTGTCTCCACCGCGGTTGCTCCTGTGACATCCTGCTCCAAGACTCCTAACCCATCCTAAGGGTGAAGCCCACAGGATGCCGGCACCTCTCTACCCTCACAACTGGGAGTTAAGATTCTGATGCGTGAACTTTTGGGAGACATTCAAGTCATATAGCATTCTTGGTGTCCTTACCCTTGGGGTGGGTGGGCAGCTCTATACCTTGTGAAGGTCTGTGGCAGGTGATTAACGACAATCAGGCTTAAGACCCAGTGAGTCTCTGTTGAACGTTCTGGTTACTCCTGCTTTCATCACAGGTCAGGGTGCAGCAGGCTGCCATGGAGCTGGAGCTGATGCCATTCACAGTCCTGCTGAGGACAACTCTGGACCTGCTTCAGGAGAAGGACCCTGCACACATCTTTGCTGAACCTGTCAGCCTGGATGAGGCAAGTCGTCCCTTTAAGCAGCAAGCCTGCTCTGGAAATAAGCTTTGAGTAGGCCAAGGAAGGAAGGGGTTGAACCACAGGGCATCTAGAAGTGAGGGTGGGTGGTGTCTTGGCAGGCTAGTAGACTTGCCCATTGTTTGGGTGGACCATGCCCTGAGGCTCTTTAGTGAGCCTGACATGGCCACAGCAGAGAGTTGGGAGGTCAGAGTAGCAGTGAAGGGTGCACCTGTGTGGCTCATAAATAGTTGTTGTAATTGTACAGGTTTTATATGTTTAGGTTCCAGATTACCTGGAATTCATATCCAAGCCAATGGATTTTTCTACTATGAGGCGGAAGCTGGAATCTCACCTGTACCACACCTTGGAGGAGTTTGAGGAGGACTTTAACCTTATAGTTACCAACTGCATGAAGTATAACGCTAAAGACACAATTTTCCACCGAGCAGCTGTTCGCCTGCGGGACCTGGGAGGGGCCATCCTGCGGCACGCTCGTCGGCAGGCAGAGAACATCGGCTATGATCCCGAGAGGGGCACCCACTTGCCCGAGTCACCCAAATTGGAAGACTTTTACCGATTCTCCTGGGAGGATGGTGAGAAGCTTGGGTGGGTAGGGAGGAGAAGGACCAGGATGAACGAGCAGCACAAGGACAGGGCCCAGAGAGCCAAGCTGTGGTTGGGAGCAGATGGGTGTGCGGCTTGAATAACCCTGAGGCGTAGTTGGTGTGCTGAGTGCCTGTTGAGTGGTAGAAAAGGCGTAGCTGCTTGGAAAGCCAAGGCCTCTGGGCCCCTAAATGTAGCTCTGGAGCATGGGCTGGGAGGACCAGAAAGTAGAGTGCCTGTGAGCGCCATTTTGCTTGTCTCTGCTTGCTGTATAATCTCTGGCCAGGGATTGCTAGACCACTGCATGCCTGCTGTGTGGCCACCGCTGTAACTGAATGCCCCCTGGAGCTGTTCCTCACCCACCATTTCTAGGCAGTAGTATTGTGGGGCCAAGGCCCACACTGACGCTGCTGGGAGGCCTGGCCCGGGCATTCCAGGCCCTTACTTTGCATCCAGAAGATTTCTCTTTCTCAGTGCTAGGCTCGCCATTCAGCCTCTTCTGTCCTCCCTTTTCTATGGCAGTGGACAACATCCTCATCCCAGAAAACCGGGCCCATCTGTCCCCAGAGGTGCAGCTGAAGGAGCTGCTAGAGAAACTGGATCTGGTGAGCGCGATGCGGTCTAGCGGGGCCCGCACCCGTCGTGTCCGCATGTTACGCAGGGAGATCAATGCCCTTCGGCAAAAGCTAGCACAGCCAGCGCCACCACAGCTGCTGTCACTGAACAAGACAGTGTCCAATGGGGAGCTGCCAGCAGGACCTCGGGGGGATGCAGCTGTTCTGGAGCAGGCGTTGCAAGCAGAGCCAGAAGATGATGGGGACAGAGGTGAGAGAGGGTCACAGACAGGCAGGGTGCGGAGTGGGTAGGGTAGTCAGGAGTAAGAGGCTATCATCTCTTGAGAGTATAGGTCTGACCCTGCAAATAAACAAAGCCCTTGGAGGGAGTCTCCCTTCATATCTCATTTGGGATGCTATTAACAAATATTTAGTCATCAGTAGAGAATAAAATTTATTTGTCAGAGTAGATGTTGGCTCTTGTATTGGTCTGGATTTAGGGTGCTGGAGCCCAGTAGCTACATACTAGGTAGGTATCAGGCAGTTTAGCTCCTGATACAGTGGTACTGTATGGTACAGCTAAGCAGCTTACTCTACCACTCTGGAGAAGCTCTGAGAAGCCTGGGATATGAGGGGAAGGGATGTGAAGACCCTTCTTCTGGACTCTTGGGGTGTTGGTTGGTTGGACTTTTTTTGTTTGTTTTGTTTTGTTTTTTGAGACAGGTTTTCTCTAAAATCCAGGATGTTCTGGAATTTGCTCTGTAGACCAGGCTGTCCTCAAATTCACAGAGATCCACCTGCCTCCCAAGTGCTGGAATTAAAGGCGTGCACCACTGCTACCTGGCTTGACTCTTGGTTTTGATCACAGCTGGCCAAGGCTGTAGGCCATCCCAGGCAGAGGTGTCAGACTATAAAAGGCCTAATTGATTTAAGCAGGTGGCTTTCTGAACTATCCCCTACCTTAGTGAATTGAGGACCTGATTCTAAAAAACCCCAGGAGCTGTTTATGAGCTGAGATGCTTCCCATGCCTTCCCTTTGGTGAGGACAGAATTATCTCACCGGTACCTGCCCCTGCCCTGAGCCCGAGGTTTAGGGAGGCCTGCCACTCACATGGTCTAAACACGGGAGTTACCTCTATTTGGTAAGACTCCCACTGAAGGGATTGGGTCCATTTTAGTGTGGGTCAGGGACACGATTGAGAATCCGCATAGGTGACCATTGTGACTCTTCGTAACGTTCATGTGGCAGTCAGCACGTCATCTGAGTTCCTCTCCTTGACACATGCACAGTGGCCAGTGACCCCAGCGTCACTCAGAGAGTTTCAAGGTAAAGTCGCAGAGGTTCACATGGGAGGGTCTGAGCTATGGCTTGGGAGTAAAGTTCCAAGTGGAGCAGACTGGTCTGGGAAGCTCTGACTTAGTGTGCTTGGTCTGAGTTCCCTAAATCCGCAAACACCTTTGCTGTCTGCTGTGTGTCCCCACAAACAAAGCTGAGGACAAGTGAGAAAATTCTGATGTCCTCCAGCCTGTCCAGCTGAAACCTCACCGGATTACTGCCCAAACAGGTGGCTCTCTCAGGCTTTCTTGCCCATCAGAGTCGTTATCTGGTTGGTGGGTGCAGACCGTTGCTAGAATGTTCAAGCAGGTTCTCTTTTTCTCAACAGATGATTCCAAAATACCTGCCCCACCAACCCTGGAGCCTACTGGGCCCGCACCGTCCTTGTCTGAGCAGGAGTCCCCCCCAGATCCCCCCACCCTGAAACCCATCAGTGACAGCAAGCCTTCAAGCCGGTCCCTAAAGTCCCGGAAGGTGGAAGATGATGAGCTCTTGGAGAACTCAGCTCTGCAGCTGGGGAGCGAGCCCTTGCAATGCTTGCTCAGTGACAATGGCATTGATAGACTGTCTCTCATAAACCCTGACAGCCCTCCTGGTACCCCTCTCAGTGGGGTGGGCCGCCGTACATCAGTCCTCTTCAAGAAGGCCAAGAATGGGGTTAAGCTGCAGAGGAGTCCAGACGGGACCCTGGAGAATGGCGAGGACCATGGTGCAGTGGGCTCTCCGGCTTCCCCAGCCAGCACAGAAGATGAGCACTGTTCCAGGAAGAGGCCAAGGAGCAGGAGCTGTAGTGACAGTGATGGGGAGAGGTCCCCTCAGCAGGAGGAAGAGACAGGTGATCCTGCCTGTGACTTCTTTTGCTATTTCCCATCTGTTTGCCCGCTTGCCTTGCCAAGGGCCACCTTCCCCCGTCAGTCATCTCTGGTGGCCTCTGAGAAAACAGCTTAGAGCAGTTGTTCTTGGAGGGCCAGCTTGTATGCCGGACTAGCACTGGCCTCAAGGGAGTTGTAAGGTTTTATGTGGTAAAATGGTTCCTGCCTTCACTTCAGTTTGCCCTTGATACTTTTATCAGACACTGCCTTAGGCCCTGGAGGAAAATTAGTGAACGGAACACGAACATCTCTCTTACAGAAGAAATAGACGAAAGGCAAATGAGGGTCTTGTATTAGAAACTGTGGGGACAATTAAAAAACCACACGTCAAACCATTAGAGAAGAGGGACAGAGAGTGCTGGATGGAATGAGACAGAGCAGTCAGAGAAGGGGACATTTGAGTAAAGATTTGAAGGGGCTAAAGGTCTGAACTGCTGGCATCTAGGGGAAGAATATTCTAAGAAGGACAGATGAGCAAATGTCTTGGAGGTGGGAATGCACTGGCATGTCCACAGAGCAGCAAAGGAGTCAGCTGCAGCAGTGAGGTGGGTGGGAGAGGAGGTCACGGGAGTCCTGACTGCATGTCCAGCATGCGCTGGTTCCCGGTGGGGAGAAAGTACCAGTTCCAGCTCCACAGGAGTCCCAGTCCAGGGGAAAGTAGAGAGGTCCTCGGAGTTGCTAAAAAATCAGAGCCCAAAGTGTGGGGTTGGGGGATGTCACCAGAGCTATTCAGGAAACTTGACCTGGAGTAGAGAAGACTCCTCTTGAAGGTCCTTCCTGTTGGCTGTACTTCTCTGTAGGAGGCTAGACATTTAGGATAGAGAGCAAGAGCTTGAAGTTCAGATCATGACTTCATTGGCTGTGTGCCCTCTCTGAGCCTGTTTGCATCTTACTGATTCCTACCCTGCAGTGCAGAGGTTGGGGCAGATTAGGAACACGGCAAATAGCAGCCAACGGTAGCAGTTATTGTCATCTCTTCAGCTCTCTGTCTCAGCCAAACAGCATGGAGAACACTGCACTAAAAATGAAGGCCTTTGCTAGTGGGGACATCAGGCCCATCAGCCTGGAGCTCTCATGCTTGGGGATACTGCAGCAGCGTTCCTTTCCTAGCCCTCACATGCAGGCACTCGGGAACATTTCTGTAAGCAACTGTAGTTGGGGCTCAGAAAGCAGGCAGGGCACAGTGGGCTTCTGGGACTCACATCGAGGTCTCATATTGGAAGAAGGGCCAGTTAGGCTCAGGCACCTTCTCTCAATGGGTCTGGATGGCCTCACAATTTTCTAGCCATGGCTTCTGTCGCAGCTCTGAAATCAGGGGCCTGATCCTCCTTCAGTCTTTGTTCTGTGGTCAGAGTTGGAGGACTCTGGAGTTAGAATTCAATAGATTCAAAAAAAGGAAGCCTTCCATGGTAAGGTGACCCTAGGATGATGAAGCAGCCCGCTCTACCTGAGGTGCCTTGCTGCAAAAGGATTCAGACCAAACAGCATCCTCTATGTCACAGAAGGCAGGGGCCAAACTCAGCCTGGAGCCAAGGTTCTGTTGCTCCATTCTGCAATGATCTGGGCTGCAGTAGCCCTTAAAATCTGCCCTCTGCAACTCTCCCTAGCTCTGTGAGCTACCTCTGGGTGCGGATGATACTGAGCCCTTAGCTTCTGCTATCATCCCCAAAGAAGGAGGCTGCTGCCAACTGCTGGAATGGGGCGGGCTCATGTGTATCAGCAGAGGAACTCACTGGTAATCCAGATTCAAAGATAGAGCAGGCCAGGGACTTGTGAGTCCGCCTGGGTGGAGAAGTCCTACGTTTTCCCTCGGTTGTCAGGTGTGTGCTGCTCAGGTAATACAGTCTGCTCACGGCTACCTAAAGTGCTGTCCTTACAGGGGAGGAGCAGCCTCCTACCCACTCCAGTCCTCTGAGGCCTGTGTCAGGGAAGGGAGGTTCTGCACTCAGGCTCACTCTGTGTGTCCTTGGCAGGAGTGACTAACGGCTTCGGAAAGCACACCGAAAGTGGGTCTGACTCGGAATGTAGTTTGGGTCTCAGTGGAGGACTGGCGTTTGAAGCTGGCAGGTAAGGATATTTATCCACCAAGCTTGGGCAGCCTTGAGACCGCCATTTTCCTTAATTCTGCATTCAGTGACAGTTTGGACTTTCTTCTCACCTCTGTTTCCTCAGGCTCTAGTGTGTAACTGGGAGCTCTGAGGGAAGGGGTTGACCTTCAAATGTTGCTGGGTTTGTGGGGCTCAACCTCCTTTTGCCTAGGGAAGTGACCATTTGAGACACACACACCTGGGTGCACACACACGTGGATAGCCCAGCTAGTTGCAGACATGGTTTTGATTAAGCCTCTTAGGGTTTCATAGGGTTGGTCTCTTTGGTTTGTTTTGGCTTCTGTTCTGTGGTCCTGATGATTGAACCATGGGCCCCACGTGTGCTAGGCAAGTACTCTACCAGTTAGTTACAGCCCGAGCCCTTTTTGGTTTGGTTTTGTCTCTTGAGAATAGGATCTTGCTGTGTGGCCCAGGCTGGACTGGAATTCAAAGCAGTTTTGTTGCCTCTGTCTCCCAGGTGCTGAGATGGCAGGCGTATACTACCAATATGTCTGGAGTTAGCCCTTGGTTTTTTGAAATAGGATCAAACTAAGTAGCTCAAGCTGGCTTCCAGCTCTCAACCCTTGCACCCCCGCTTCCCAGGTGCTGGGCTTCCAGGCATTTGTCAGCTGTACCCAGTGCCCACAGCAGTGGCCTCTTCAGAGATTGGAGGGTGAGCAAGTATGAGACTTTAAAGCCCTCTTTTCAAAGACTCCAGGTTACCTGTCATTGTTGAGAAGGGATGGGCTTCTGTTGTGATTTTTTTTTTTTTTAACCTGAAGGGAGGATTTCTGAGACCATAGCTTTCATTTCTCCCAAGTCTAGGAGTTTACTGAGCTCATCGCCCTGTGTTTTCTGTTCTTCAAACTCTGGGGTAGAGAGGGGTGCTTGGCTGAGAGGACCTGGTGCCGCAGGGAGTGGTGGCTGCTGAAAGAATCCACCGAGAGGCTGGTCTGTATCTGAAGGCTTCCAAAGCAGCCTTCACTGGCATGTGTGCTCTTGACGCTTGCTTGCCTGCTGAGCTTCCAGGTGAGCTGTGAGGGCCTCCAGTTACACACTGACCCTGGGCTGGCTTTCTGCCTTAATTCTTTTGAGCTTTTCCTCCCCACGAAACCTCAGAATTGCCCATGCTTGCTGCTTGTGTGTTGAAGCCTCCAAAGACACAGAGTAGATGAGAGACAGTTTACCAGCACTAAAGAAGACAGATTTCAAAATGGTAGGAAATGCTTCTTGCTTGCTCTCAGGCTTCCTTCTAAGATAGGTGCTTAAGCCAAGCTTTGCGACCCATACCTGTAAAACCAACACTTAGACAGCTGAGATAAAAGAACCTTGAGCTCAAGACCAGCCCGGGCTATATAGCATAGCCCTACTTAAAAAACAAAAGCAAAACTCCTAAGCTGAGCAAGTATGCAGGTGCCTGGTAATTCAGTTTACTGGAGGTGGTAGGAGTGAGGTCCCCTTATGGCCCTTGGCTAAGGTGGAAAGGGTACTGTTTAACCTTACAAAGGGCATGCTTCCCAGCTGTGAACCATAAGAAGCAGGCCAGGATAGCCTGCTGGTTCAGATGTGCATTTGGTGTGTTTTGTCTGCATTTATGTCTGTGTGAGGGTGTTGATTCCCCTGGAACTGGAGTTACAGACAGTTGTGAGCTACCATGTGGGTGCTGAGAATTGAACCCGGATCCCCTGGGAGAGCAGTCAGTGAGCCATGTCCCCAGCCCCAGTATTTCCTCTTTCAGTCTGCTCAAACAGAGGGATTGGGACCTTACAGGTGAAGGCACTGCTGCCAAGCCTGATGTGGTTCAGTCCTCAGGAATACCACAGTAGACATAGAGAGCCAGCCCCTCACAGGCTGCCCTCTGACCTACACACACACACACACACACACACACACACACACACACTTTAGGAAAGATTAAGTAAAATTGGGGATTCAAGGGTTCTGACTGCAGTGTTCTCTCTCCCTATCCCAGCCCCCCTTCCTCTTCAGTACGCTAGGAAGAATATAAAGGAAGCTTTTTTTCTGTTGTACGGAAGCCATACTATCTTTTTTGTTGTTGTTTGAGACAGGGTCTCTCAGTTTAGCTCTGGCTGTTCTGCTCCACTCAAGACTGGCCTCAGGCTCATGGAGACCCACCTGCCTCTGCCTCCTGAGTGCTGGGATTAAAGGCGTGCGCTGATGTCTAGCCCATGCCCAGCCTCTTTTGCCCATTTGTTCTGTGCACGGCCTTTTCAGACGGTCTTCTTTTTTTGTTCATTGTTGCACTCCGTGACAGTCTCCTGGACTGCAGACAGGGAACTCACTGTGACTGAGGCTGGTCCCTGGACTCCTAGTCCCCCTAACTCCACCTCCCAAGCACTAGGGTGACATTCATGCCACACCACGCCCAGCCGCACCCTCCAACACCTGTGGTGTGAGTTGTCACTGTTAAAGTACATGCCAGTTCCCGCAGTTTGTCTGGTAGAGGAGGTAGGTGGAAATTACACTCAATATACAGCTGTAGACTGGTTGTCCTGCGTTGGCCTGGGTCCACAGAGCAAGCCTCAGCAGCGTCCATCAGCCTCATCAGAACCACACAGTTGTTCTGCGGGCTAGTTTCCAAGCCTTTCCTGCCCGTTCTGGCACTCTGCGGTAGAATAGTTGTGGTCTGAAAACGTGAAACCACCCCCAGAGTGCATAGTGTGAACTCGTGGCTTCTCCACAGCACCGCTGGGTGCCACTGGCCAGGGTCACAGAGGTGATGAGAGGAGGTAGCCTTTACTTGTCTCTCAGCTGCCTTGCCCTGCTTGTTCCGTGTGCCCTGTCCAGGTCAGGGTGTAAGCTTAGAGACCTCTAGTGAAATCAGTAGCATCTCCATTACATGCCAGTCTCTGGAGTCCACAGACAGGTTTATGGGGTGAGTGCACATGGTTCTCCGTATGAACTGAGGATTCTTGGCATTGTTTTCCAAACAGGTGCTAACTTTGTTTACTGAAGGAATGGGAGTTGTGGTTTTGATTAAGCTGAATTTTCTTAGCATAAACTCAGTTCTGACTCAGTGAAATCGAGTACCTCACTGTAGCCATTCCCACTCCTTGCTACGGTTTATCACATCCAGGGTTTTCTAAACATTTTGGCTTTTTTGTAAAAAATGGACTCTCTAACCATTTTTTTCTGGTCAAAAAATTATGTATCAGCAATGTTTTTATTTATTTTTGAGACAGAGACTTACTGTATAGCTAATCTGGTTTGAAACCACTCTGTAGATGGTCTAGCCTCAACTCATCTGCCTCTGCCTCCCTAGTACTGGGATTAAAAATATGTGCCTCCAGACTCGGCAGCCATAATGTTTTTAAGGTTCCCAGCCGCATTTTTCTTGCCCAGAAGCTCTCAGCTCTAGATTGCATTTAAGCCACGTGGGGGTGGGGGCGTTTCAAAATGCCAGTGCCCTGGTGGCCATGGTTATTACTTCTTTTCTTGTCCATTGTATATATAGTTTGCCTTAGAGTTTACCTTTCCTTCCTCCCTCCCTCATTCCCTCCTCCACCCTCTCTCTCTCTCTCTTTTTGCCAAGGTCTCACTGTGTATCTCTGGCTGGCTAAGAACTCACTCTGTAGACCATGCAGGCCTCAGACTCACAAAGCTCTGCCTGTCTCTGCCTCCTGAGGGCTGGGATTAAAGGCGTGAGCCACCATGCCCAGCATTTAACTTCCTCTTAAGAATGTGTTTATGTGTGCCCACCATGTTTATGGAGGTCAGAGGACAACTCTTGTACCGTGTGGGTCTCAGGGATCACACTCAGGCTCGGCAGCGAGCGCCTTTACCCACTAACCCATCTCACCCACCAGACTTTGCCTCTCTGTCGGAGCCTTCTGTAAAGAAAGAAATTGCTCTCCTTTTTAGTTGGTAAAAATCAAATTTTAAAAAAAAAATCCTACCCAAGGAAAACTTCTCACATAAACCATTTGGAAGTGAGAAGTGGTGTTTTTTGTTTTTCCCAATTTAAAAATGTCTTTGCTAATTCTGGAAAGAAGACATGCCTGTTATAGAACATTTGGGAAAGAGGCAAATTTTAGGACCTCAGAAAGAAATTGGTTTGTCAAGATGAAGCATGTGGAGCTTAGAGTGCAGATTCTATTTTATATATATATATATATTTTAATTTTATGTGCATGGGTGTTTCATCATGGGTGTCGGGTTCACTGAAGCTGGAGCTACAGATGGTTGTGAGCTGCCATGTGGGTGCTGGGAATTGAACCCAGGTCCTCTGGAGAAGCAGTCACTGAGCCATCTCTCCAGCCCTGAGAGTGCAGAGTCAAACAAGTGAGAGTCTGAGGTGAGACTGGGTGGTGACCTTCTCGCTGTTGATGAGACAGGCTCTCCTGGTGTAGACCAGACTGGCCTGGAATTCACAGAGATCCACCTGCTTCTGCCTCTGGGATTAAAGGTATGCCCCGCCATGCCCAGCACTGTGACCTTCCCTCTGAATGAACTGTACTGTCCCTCCACAAGGGTGGACTGGTTTCTGGTAGAAACTTCCAGGAGGGAATGGAGATGCTGTCCTTCCCTTGTGTCAGGGGTGGAAAAACAGAAGGTTTGTTGCAGTTAAAACTGCTCACTTCAGCTCTCTTCTCTGTACGCAGTGGCCTAACACCTCCCAAACGCAGCCGTGGGAAGCCAGCCCTGTCCCGAGTGCCCTTCCTGGACGGTGTGAATGGAGGCTCAGACCACAGTGGCTCAGGTGAGGAGACAGTTGAGGCTGAGCTGGGGAAACGTTCTGAGGAGCAAACTGTCTGAACTGCTGCACTTCAGGGGCTCACGACCTGGCCATCAGTCTGCAGCCCCCCGAGACACGGCTGTCAGTCTGCAGCCCCCCCCGCCCCACGACAGACGCTGGCTAGAGAGGTGGCCTTCGCTCCCGGTCACTAACATTTCTTTTAAAACTCTCTTAGTCTGTGTTGTACTTTGAGTTTGTATCGCTGTGATAATGATCATGACCAAAAGCAGCTTGAGGGCAAGGTTCTCTTCTCCTCACAGCTTGTCCATCGCGAAGGGAAGTCAGCCAGAGCTGAAGCAGAGGAGCATTGTGTGCTGGGGTTTGTTAGCCCACTTTCTCACACAGCCCAAGGCCATATGCCCAGGGTGGCATCCGTTACGATGGGCTGCGCCCTGCCGTATCAATCATTAGTCAAGAAACTGTTCCACAGACCTGCCCACAGGCCAGTGTGATAGAAGCCTTTCTCAGCCTAGAGTCCCTCTTCCCAGATGACCCTAGCGTGTGTCTAAGTTGACAAACAAACAAAAACTCAAAACAAAAACAAACTAGCAAGCACAGTTTAATACTGCCCATGGTAACAGAAGTCCAGTGGGCTCTTATGAAAGCCCGCGTTCCTCTGGAGCATCAGCTGCAGTGTTTGTGTTGTTTTTCCAGAGCTCCTTACTGTATAGCCAAACTGGAACCTGTGTGTGTTGGAAAGAAGTGTGAGGGCCCACATTCCTTCTTTCTCGTTCATGGCGTACGCTAGGAATCCTTTGCTTTATCCCAGTTTGCCAGTGGCCCACTATGTGGGAGAAGTCTTCATTTCTTCTCTGTAGCTCTCCCACGACAGACATTCAGCGTGTCTTCGTCATCAGGGCTGCTGAGCAGCCTGTGTGCAGAGGTCATTTCAGCCTTGGAGCTGTCAGGTTGAAGGAGGGTGTGTTCATAGTTTTGGTTGGTGTTGCCTGGCTGTGCTCTCTAGAGCCATCAGTGATAACATGTCACTCAGACCCCTCTAGCTCTGTAGGCCATGCCTGTTTAGCCTCACGAAATGAGGACAAGGCAAGGGCAAGGGTGAGGCTGGGTGGTTCCCAGATGGAGCAGGTCCAGAGCAGAATACTTCTTAACTCAGGCCGTCTGTCACATGCACTGTGGATGCCATGTCTTTGTAGTTCCCTATAAAGCACAGGGCTCTTTCCCTGGTCCAGCCACTTCCTTCTGCCTTAATGTCATCCCCTTTCCCAATGTGTGTTGATGGATGCATGCCTTTGAGTTCCATTACTTCGTGACTGTCTGCACTCAGACGACAGGTCTCACGTCCAGACGAATGTATATCTAAGCTCGAAGCCAGGAAGTGGATCTGACACACTTTGTGCTTCTGGTGGTGACATTTTCCCTTTTTTTTAAGCCCTCGTACTAAAATCGGTGCCAGAGGTTATTTAAAAAGGATTGCACTCCCATAGCGTCACCGTCCGAACACAGCTGTCTCCATCTGTGTTGCTTCCGTTTCTTCTAGGCATACTTTAACAAGTGCAGATCTGATACACACACTTTTGTACGCACCAGGTTTTGCTCGGATACTTTTTTCTTGTTGGCTCATGAGCTTTCTTTGCTGTTGTGATACTGGGACCATCTACCTAACAACCAGTGCTTCAGGACCGATGTGTGTTCTGGTGGACATTGGCTAGCTCCAGCTTCCAGCACACACAAGGCAATGAATGCATATTTTGGCCCAGAATCCTTTCATTACCTTTCTTATACGTTGCCAAAGAGGAAGTTAACTGGAGCATATTTATTTTAATGCTCCTAGGACATTGCGGAGAAGTGCATTCTAAAAGTGCTGAACTGGTCTGTGGCCTTACCGGTGCCTGGCTGCACTGGCTTCTCCGCAGCCTCCTTGGTGTTTATCCATTCATGGCTAACATTCTGCACTCACTGGCCTTGAAACAGGACCTGTTTTGTTAAGAATTACACACCTGGCGGTGGTGGCCTTTAATCCCAGTACTCGGGAGGCAGAGGCAGGCAGATCTCTGTGAGTTCAAGGCCAGCCTGGTCTACAAGATCTAGTTCCAGGACAGGCTCCAAAGCCACAGAGAAACCCTGTCGTGAAAAAAAAAAAAAGAATTACACATCTCCCTCTCAGATTTGAGCCCTTTTCCTTAGCTGGATGAGCGCTCACAGTTTGTAGGTGTAGGGCAGGACAGAGGCTTCCGTGGTGCTCGAAGCGTTAGTGAGGCTGGACACCTAGGATCACCAAAGACCTGCCAAACTGCTTGGCTTCGCTGGTTTGTGGTGCAGCCAGGTGCTTGGGTGGCCCATTGTGGCCTGGTCAGGAAAATGCTTAGCAAAGGGCTCTACTAGGATGTTCTCTGCACTTTTACCCTGTGAAGCCTCCATGAGAGCAACTCCCCATTCGGGTGCAGGCGGCACTGTCTGCTCAAGCTGGGGTATGGCCCTTCTCCCTAAGACACCCTGGCGATGAAGCCCTTATATTTAACCAAGGAAGCTGTTCCAGAATTCAGGTTCAGAGGTTGGTAAACTATAGCTGCCTGCTTTTATGTGGTTCATGAGCTAAGAATGTTTACCTCTTCAGTTATGAAAAGGATGGTATTTTATGATATGAAAACTGTATGAAATTCAAATGTCGGTGTCAGAAACACTAGTTTTATTGGTGAGTAGGTATACTCATTTGTTTAGACTCTAATTCCCTGCTACAGCCACAGAGCCTACATGGCTCCTAACAGGATGAAATATTTACTCTTTGGCCATTTAGAGGGTTAGTTTGACACCTGACCCAATCTAAGAACTCCTAAGGAAAGGGCAAGGAAAAGGAAGGGTGGATGGGGCGTTGCTGACTTGATCCTGGGCTGCCCTGCTTAAACGGAAGCCACAGGCAGGCTTTGGGGCACCATGCCAAGTCCCCTTTGGGCTCTGTCTCCTCCCCTCCCCCACCCCCAGGCAGAAGCCTCCTGATGCCCTTTGAAGACCGCGGAGACCTGGAGCCCCTGGAGCTGGTGTGGGCCAAGTGCCGAGGCTACCCCTCCTACCCTGCCTTGGTGAGTCTGCCCCAGACAACACCCTCCTGTTCCCTCTTCCCCCGTTGGCTCTGGCCCTGCCTTGCCTTGGGGGATTACTGATTGGATCCAGCTAGCAGAGTTTGATGGGAGTCAGGGCACCTTTAACTGCAGAGGGGTGGGGGGTTTTACCATAGCTCTCCTGGGGCAAACCAGCAAGCCTACCCCCAACACACACAAAAGGCTCCAGGTGTGCAGGAACCAGGTTCTCAGGGCCCTCATAGTTCATCTGCTTCTGTGTAGGAGGATCATGCCTGGTGCAGTTTTAAGATGCTGCTAATGGTGCTTAGCTGTGCTATGAAACATCTGCTGCACTAAATCCTTGAACTGCCAGGGGCAGAATGGTTGATCTTGTTTTGTAGGGAAGGGGCAGGGTCTTTTAGCTCTGTTAGCCAACTAATGAGCAGCATACTGGAATTTGATTCCAGAGCTCAACATGGGATGCAAAGCCTTTGTTCAGAGCCACTGCATTAAAAACTGTGCCCTGTGCTGTCCTCAGGACTGCACTCGGCACCTTCTCCCATGCATAAGCCTGTGCATGGGAGGCAGTACCGCCTTTAACCTTGTCGCTTCCCTGCATACATGAACGTGTCCATCCCACATGATGAAAACCTCCATCATGTCATTTTTAATGGTGACACCACCCTTCAGTTGCTCTCATGTGCCGCTCTTTGACCATTTCCCAGTTCCCTGTTTAGATTTTCTTTTGTGCTGTTGTCAGCATTTTAGTTTTATCTTGGTGCACAATCGTGATCATTTCTTAGGAGTACCCACTAGGGCCAACATCTATACAGAATGCTGGCACAAGTTGACAAATTGCCTGGAAATTAGTTCTGGTTTATATCCCCATTATTAGTGGCTAACAACTATGTACCACTTTGACTGCAGTCTCCTAAGGCTCTCCCAAGTTGGGAGGAAATGGCCACGAGCCCTGGAAGACAACACCAGCTGGGAACCTTTGAGTCCTGTAAGGACCTGGTAGAATTTAAGGTGTACATAGTCAGCTCCACGCAGATGAGCCTTCCAGAAACCAGGCTGAGACCTCAGCGTTCTGAGACATTTTTCAGGGTCTGAAGCCCTGGTTCTCTATGACTCTTGAGCCCAACAGCAGCTTCCTAAGATAAGGCAGGAACTCTGATCCTATTTGAGATGATGAGGAAACCCTGTCTCGATGACGTCATACCATGTTACATGAGGGCCGGCTTGTTGGGGTATCTGTCCCGCCCAGTACCCCACAGCAGGCAGGCCCCAAAGAAAATCACACACAGGACTCCATAAGATTATAAACTGATTGGCCCATTAGGTCAGGCTACTTATTAGCTCTTATAACTTATGTTACCCCATTATCCTTATCTATGTTAGCCACATGGGCTCAGTACCTTTCTCAGTGTGACAGCTTACATGTTGCCTCTTTGGTGGTCTGCACAGGAATGGCAGAGGAACCTCCCTGCTTCCCAGAATTCTCCTGTTCTCCTTGCTCCACCCCTACTTCCTGTCTGGCTTTCCCGCCTATACTGCCTGCCTGGCCAATCAGCATTTTATTAAAATATGATTGACAGAATACAGACAATTCTCCCGCACCAATACCACTTCCTGGAGCCATATTGGTTTATTTTGCCTGCCTTGTTCCCCTCTTACTATGGCAGGTGTGGAAAGTTCACACTGATCCAGTCGCTGAGACATTGAAGTAAAAATGAGACCACAGGACCCAGCTTAGTCATTAAGAAAGTGATTAATGCTGGCAGGTTTGGAGTGGCTTTTGGTTTGTTTTTCTTTGTTTGTTTTTAAACCTCACAATGCAAGAGTCTTTAGAACATAAACAAAACATTGGGACATAGTGGCATATGCCTTTAATGCCAGCATAGACAGGTAGACTTCAATGCTTACAGGCCAATCCTAGGGCTACATAGTGAGACCCTGTCTCAAAAAATAAAAAGAAATTCAGTCACCACCTGAACACAACCTGTGTTTCTATTTTGGTGCATGCCTTGCATCCCTTTTCCTGTGCATGTAGATTTTGCATGTTATGCTATATTTTAATCTTTTTAAAATAAATGTGTGTGTGGGGTGTTTTGGAATAACAGCAGTGCAGACCACCCCATGCTAGCTTGTCGACTAAACATTCCCCTCATTGCTGTTGTGTGTTGCAGCTGTGGGAGTGTATATGCACATTGGTTGTATGGCATGTTGACCCTTCCCGCCAGCTTCATGTCTGTGCTCTGTAAACCTGCAGTATTTGTACTGAGTGGATGGACCGTTACCATTTTGGAGTATGGCCGCTGTCCTTGGGTGTCAGCTCATCCTCCTTGTTCTTGCCCCAGCAGGTCTTCCACAGTTCACTCTTGATGACCAGCATGTCATCACGGGAGAGTAATCCCTGTCTCTTTGGTAGCTGGGGGAGCTTAGGGCTGTTTCTGTTCTCATTATATCTTCAGCCTCAGTCCCAGGAAGAGCGACAGGCTGGGAGATAGTTTCGACCACTGCATAGCTGGTGGGTGCGCTAGAAGCCGGTTGTTCTTAGAGTCTTTAAATTTTTCATTTTAGATTTATTAATGATGTGTGTGTATGTGTGTGTGTGTATTTTGCCTATGTGTATGTATGTATGTGTACCTTGTACATGTCTGGTGCTGAGGAGGTCAGAAAGTGTCAAATTCTCCTGGAACTCGAGTTACAGATGATTGTGAGCCACCCTTTGGGTACTCGGAGCTGAACTTGGGTCCTCTGGAAGAGCAGCAAGTGCTCTTACTGCTGAGCAGTCTCCTGGTGCCTTAGGGTAAACTCTTTACCAGAGCACCTGCTTTCAGCTGCTTGTCTTGGGGGACATGCGGTGCTGGCAGATGCCCAAAGGTCTGAGAGCAGTGTATTATGAGAGGAGGTCCCCTGGGACAGGGCATAGGAATTAGGACTGCTCTCTAGAGGAGGCTGCTTCCTCTGTCAGCTTCCAAGTCTCGTTGGCCTTTGTGCACAGAGGTTATGAGCCAGCTGCTCTGGAAGTGGGGGCTGTGTCGGAGGCTGCCGGCCACACAGGCGTAATCGCCTTTGCGAGCATCTGTTTCAGTCTCAGCCATGGTTTAGCGCCATCCTCCTGTGCTGGTGCTGCCCCCGTCTGCTGACACCTGTCAGAGATTAAAGTGAGATGGTGTGTGGATGGTTGTGAGCTCTGCCAACAAAAATGCTCCACAGACCTGGAGAGCTGCTGTGCCCTGATTGGCTCCTGCTCACTGGAGCGCTACTGTGCTTTGCACTGATTGGCTCCTGCTCACTGGAGAGCTACTGTGCTGTGGTGCACTCCCTCAGGATAAGATGGCTCTGCCTTCTGGAGCTTGCTGCCTAGATTAGTTCCTCCAGTGCTTTGGTTCTCCCTCAAACCTGACCCTTTCGGCCATCTTTTTGTCTCTTCTTCAGTCTTATCACAGGTATCTGCCCCATACCTGTTGGGAAGGTGGTGTGTAGCCAGAGGCTGTTACATAGAATCACAGGGGTTGCTCTGTTGCCACATTGAACTTTCCGCACAGTCACAGCCTCGGTGCCCAATGGGGCAAGACCCTGGGTGCTGGAAGTGAATTGCAAAGGTGGCGAAGAGAGACCAACATGGTAGCAGCCTGTAGTCCTTCCCTAATAGACACTGTGAGGAGAGGGTTCGCCTGCTCCGTCCCACTCAGTCTGTGGAGAGAGTAGAACGGTGGACTGGGGAACGGTACAGAGGAGCTCATGCCAGCCCCTCCATCGCCCGGTTATCTGTAGACCTGAGCCCTTTGTGCTTAGGTTCTCAGTGCCTTGATGGTTGGTCCTGTGGCTTTCCATTCTCCCCTGCTCAGAGCCTGTCCCCTTTTCTGCCTCCAGATCATCGATCCCAAGATGCCCCGGGAGGGCCTCCTGCACAATGGTGTCCCCATTCCTGTCCCTCCACTGGACGTGCTGAAGCTGGGCGAGCAGAAGCAGGCAGAGGCTGGAGAGAAGCTCTTCCTTGTCCTCTTCTTTGACAACAAACGCACCTGGTAAGTGGCCTAGCTGCTGCAGGACCCTTGCCAGGGTGCAGGCTCCACCCCGTGTGAGGAGGATTCAGCTGGCCCATGTAGCCTGTGGTAGCTGTTCCTAACGACACCAGCTAGTGGTGCTTAGAGTAATGGGGAGCTCCTCAAGAGGAGCCTTTCCCCAGGTGGCCCATAAAGCCGCAGGGTAGGTCCACAGCCCCAGGCAGTCCAATAGAAGCCTCAGCTATTCTCTGTAGAGCTCAGAAGAGGTATTGAGAATTGGGGATCTTTATACCCTTAAACCAATAGTTACCAAATGCCACCCGTTCCTTGGGACAGGCATGACCTTGTGTAGGTAGGCAGCTGTCATGGTAACTAGTTACCGGAAAGAGAGTAAACTGAAAGCTGAACACAGCACGTGCGCACATACAACACACACCCGTCCCCACCCTCCTGTTCTGAGGGAATCTGGGCAATGCGGTGTCCTTTATGTAAGGCCTTAGGGCTTGTGACTGACAAAGTGCTGTCGTCTGGTAACAGACATGCCCAAGGGCAAGGCTCAGGCCTGTGGGGTTGCTAGGCCTGTCTGCTGGAGAACAGTTGGGGCCTTCCAGTCTGCCTTCCCCTGACCCAGTAAGATATAGGTGTGGAGTAGGTAGGAGTGTAGCTGCATCTCAACTGTGTTTTCTTTCAGGCAGTGGCTTCCAAGGGACAAAGTCCTGCCACTGGGTGTGGAGGACACTGTGGACAAACTCAAGATGTTGGAAGGCCGCAAGACCAGCATCCGGAAGTCGGTACAGGTGGCCTATGACCGTGCAATGATCCACCTTAGCCGAGTCCGTGGACCCCACTCCTTTGTCACTTCCAGCTACCTGTAAGAGTGGAACTGGGCCTGTGTCTGCCTGCTCTGCCTCTCCTCTGTCCCTGAGGCACGAGAAGCCTCTTCTGCCCCTGCCAAGTGTCTGACTGGCAGCTTCTTTCTCATGGCAGGCCCTGACTGGACTGGGTCTCCAAGGGCAAGGCCCAGAATTGACCAATCAAGTGGTTCCCCTGGAGGGCCACTGTGTGCCAAAAACTCCCACCCAAGGTCCCCGGGGACATTCCACTGAAGAATCACTTAGAAGCAGAAACAGCTGAGAGTCTCGGCCAGCCAGGGAGTGGACCTGGGCCACTGGGCACCAGGTCCTAGGCTGCTTTTCTGGGGCCAACTGCTCCCTCCATGCCTCTCCCAGCTAGCTAACCATACCTCAGGGCAGGCAAGGTTCTGACACTGATCCCAGAGATGTGCCAGGGTCCCTCGGGAACCCACTGAGCTCCCCTTCCCCCCACATCACCCGATCTCACCCCTCCTGTCTCATCGTCCACACCCAGCCCAGGCTCTCCTTTCCCATTGCTCTCCTCTCTCCCTCGTGCCAAATTGACAGCAACATCACCAAATCCATCTTTTTCTTTGATGCCCATTTCCTTCCTGACCAGCTGCTATGTTAGATTAGGTGTCCGCCAGCCACCTGAGTCCCAGGTAGAAGTTACCCCAGTCTCCCCACACCCACAGACTTCCACTTGTGCTGCTGACATGCCTAGCCCAGCTGCGTGTACATGCCCTGTGGATGGAGTGGGCTTCCCGCCCTCCATCTGGCTGAGGAGTGCCGAGGGTGGGCCCCTGTCCATGCAGAAGGCATTGAGGGTGCCGCCCTTCAGCTGGCATGCTGCTTGTCCCTCCCCCTGCAGCAGACTTAAGCCTTACTGCGCGCCATCACCGCAGGGGCACGGGCTGCCCTCCAGCACCCTCCCCTGGCTCTGCTCCTGCTGCCCAGAGCCGGGACACGGCCTTTTTCTTTGTTGCCCTGTCTTCATCCTTCTCCCCACCTTCACCTCCTCAACTTCCTCCCTCACCTCCCAAAGGAAGGAAAACAAACTGTGAATGAGGAACGCTGACTGACAAACCAACGCAACTTTCAGAGGCTTCTGCTCTTGACATTTCTTTTCACCTCCTAAGCACCAAAGCCGCAGGCGGGTTTGCGGACCGCTGATTGCCATGTTGATTTCTATCTTGATGTTATTTTTAATTGTTTTAAATTTTTCATAGGGGGTTTTGGGCAAAACAGTCACTGGGGAGATCACTGCCATTTTTACATACTCAGACTTTTTAAAACGCAGCCAGTCAACCACCAACTTCTTCCACATTTGGGACTCGAGCCAGAGTTTAAAAGGGAGCCAACAAAATCACAGAGAGGGCGGGGTTCTGTCCAGTAAAGAGCGCGGTGTATATAACTGTAAGATACTGTCGCTAAGTTATTCGGGCCTATACTCTCCATTATCGGAATCCTCCACTGTGCAGCCATGCGGTGTGGTTTAGTAAAGGAGCCGATGTGTCCCCCTCTCCCCAGGTAGTTGGTCAGCTGTGGACTCTGTGACCCTTGTCTAAACCTGTGTTGTAAGATCTCGGGGCTTTCTCCCCGTGTCTCTCCCTCCCCCGACACTTTATCTTCTATTTTTCAGTCTCCGAACCTTTCACTCTCTCTGAGTCCCACTTAAGAAACTGCTCCTTTTAGAACAGAAGGCGGCTCAGACCCTGCTGTGGCACGGGGCCTCGGCCTCTGTCGTCTGCTGTGAAGCACACGATGCTCTATTTATTGTAGAAAGTGACTTTATTTGCCTTCTAGAGTTGTTTATAACAGATGGTTATAAGAGGTAATAAACAGAAAATCTATGCCTGTAAAGAATACGAGAGTTACTTTTACCTACTATAATATGACGTCTTATTTTCTCTCTGAGAAATAAATGTTCTAATGGGCAGTGGTTTGCTGTGCTGTATTTGGTGTCCTTGGTGGGGCCTCCTGTCCTCACTCCACCCACTTCTCTGAAGGCCGAGTCATTAAGAATGGGCTTGTCTGGTCTGTGCTTTGGATCTCCTGGGTGGGTGTGAGGAGAGCACAGTGCGGGGCTGAGGGTGGTCGTGGGGGTGGCCACGCCTCCACCGTTACCTTTTCTGGCTTTTTTGTGCCATGCTGAAGAAGTGACTCCATTGACAATCCTGGCACCCATTCAGCAGCCACCAGACTGGAGACTAGGAAGATCAAGCCTCCTTTGCTGTTCCTTCTGTAGATGGGCAGCAGGGACACAGGTTGGTGTCACCCGCCTATAACTGGAAGGATCCTTGCAACTGACCTGGCCTTCATTTTGCAGAAATGAGGACTCAGACCAGCAAGATTAAAAGGCGTGGTCAAGGGGCTGGAGAGATGGCTCATTGGTTAAGAGCACTGCCTGCTCTTCTGAAGGTCCTCAGTTTAATTCCCAGCAACCACATGGTGACTCACAACCATCTGGTGCCCTCTTCTGGCCTGCAGGTGTACATGCAGACAAAATACTGAGAATACTGTATACATAATAAATAAATAAATCTTAATAAAATAAAAGGTGTGGTCAAGGTCAGTCAGCCACGCCGCCAATGCAAAATAATCCCAATCAAGCCAAATCAGACCAAATTAAAAGATATCCAGGTTTAATCAGACATCTGCCCTCCCGGGTAGCCCCAAGGGGAATACAAAGCCACCAGTGCGACCATGGAGAGGAAAGGGGAAAGCCACGTGTTCATTTTCTGGGGAGCAGTTTAAATAGCCCATGGGAGTTTCCTGGGGAGGAATCAAGGTTTGGCAGGTTACCTTGACCCTTCTTGAGGAGGGGTCTCCAAAGATGGAGGATTACACTTGGGAGGCAGAGTGGAGACCCAGAAATGATCTCAGCCTGTACCGCCTTCCTCCAGTGAGACTCTGCCTCCTACAGGTTCCTTTGTGTAGATGGCCGATGTGACTGCTCTGTGGGTGGCTCAGGGGAAGGTTTTTATTGTGGGTATGAGGGAGAACACAGCCAGAGGCATCTGAAGAGTCCAGAGCAGAGAGAAAGCAGTAGACAGCACATGACCAGCAGACTGGACTTGGCCATGGGAGAGGCAGAGCGGAGGGAGAGAGGGAAAGGGGGTCAGAGAACACAGTCAAACTGGGGTTATAAGGGAGAGTGGACAGCTTCAAGGACGGAAGCCCCGGTGCTGGGGCGGGTGAGGAGGGCTAGGATGTCAGCATGGACTCTGGTGTGCTAGAAGACATCACAGACAGCCATTTGGAATTTGGAGAAACGGAGTTTCCTTTGGACCTGACATCTGTAACCTTCCCCAACATACCACGAGGCAGAGAACAAATGTTTAAACATGTAAACTGGTAGGGAACATTTCATATTCAAACTTGTCATGGGCCATTGACCAGATTCCAGCCCTTGTGCAAATATCCAGGAACAAGTCAACAGATGGCCATAGAATTCTTTGCTCGTTTGGAAAGTTTCCTTCCTGTTTTTGGGTAGAAATGCCAGTGTCAAGAGAAGTCACTCTCAGGTGGACATGTCACTTCTGAGGCAATCTGGAAGGCCATGGGGCCAAAGTGGCAACAGATACATCCCTAAGCTTTGAACAGCACTGTTTCAGATACAGCTTTCCAAGGAGTAGCTAAGATACAGCAGATGGAGCTTGCGTCTCCGCGAATTTTTACTAGTGGGTCCAACCACGGAACCTCCACCCAGGTCAAAACACAGGACGTTTCCCTTGCCTTCTGAGCCCTGCTCTGCTTCCCAGAGTCTGCCTTTTGCTGAATTTCATGTACATGGAGTCGCGTGCCACCTACCTTTCCATTTCTGGCTTCTCCCATTCAGCTCTGTGTTTCTGATCCCGTCCTGTGGCTCATATCGCCATTTGCTCTGTCACTGCTTAGCGGAGTTTCATTATTTGAACACAGTTTGCCCATTCTGCGGATGGATGAGGTATTTCCAGTTTGGGCATTGGAAAGAAGTCTACTAGGAATGCTTTGCAGATCAGGCTGACCTCAAACTCACTGAGATCGGCTTGCCTCTGCCTTACAAGTGCTGGGATTAAAGGTGTGCACCACTGACCAGCTATTTCTAATATTTTTTAAAGGCAGAGCTTTACCTAGTGGCCCTGGCAGCCTGAGACCTGCCAGTCTCTGCCTCCCAGATGCTAAGATCATGAGGTAGATGAAGTTTGGCTTCAATAGATTCTGCCATCATTCCTTGGATCGATCATTCAGTGTGTGTGCTCCTGTTGCTGTCCACCATGCTGACACCGACACCTCAGACCTGCTTGCTAGCTGCTTCTACAAAGCTCACATCTGCAGGAATGATGGTCGTCACCTGGGAACCCTGACCAGGGAGGGGAGGGGAAGGAGAAGTGGGGGAGGGAGAGCTGCCCTGGAGGTGGGTTCCTGCACGTTTCCTCTGGAGGCCTGGGATGTGCACACCTGGCTGAGAGATGACTATCTTGCAGGCCTGCGATGTCACTCAGATCCCTACACCAGTTTTCTGTCAAATAGGTCACATTCGTCGTCCAGAGTACCCCTTGTCTGCATCTCATCTGGGCCACTGGGCTGTTTTATTCTGTGTAGCCCTTGCTGTTCTGGAACTCATGTAGACCAGGCTGGTCTCGAACTCATGGATCTGCTTGTCTCTGCCTTTCAAATGCTGGGATTAAAGGCACTCCCAGACAAGCAACTCTTATAAGTATGTATTTAACTGGGGCTTGCTTACAGTTTCAGAGAATTAGCCCATGATCATGGCAGGAAGCAGACAGGCTGTCTGTAGGCTGCAGGTCGCGAGCTAGTGGGCCTGATGTGGGCTTTCTAAACCTCAGAGTCCACTCCAGTGACACAGCTCCTCCAACAAAGCCACATTTCCTGATTCTTCCCGAACAGTCCCACCAGCTGGTGACTAAGCACACAACTATCTGAGCCTATGGGGGCCGCTCTTTGAGCCGCCATGGCCCACTTCATGTTTAGTAGCTAATGAGAAGACAGCCTTAAAGAGTCAGCACTCATTCCACATGTGGGTCCCGGGGATTGAACTCGGGTCAGCAGGTTTGTAGGCAACTGCCTTACTTTTTCCCCTGAGTCATCTTAGTGAATCTATTTTGTTTTTGTTTTTCTTTTATGTTTTGTTTTTTAAGATAGCTTTGGAACCTGTCCTGGAACTCAGCTCTGTAGACCAGGCTGGCCTCGAACTCACAGAGATCTGCCTGCCTCTGCCTCCTGAGTGCTAAAATTCAAGGTGTGTGCCACCACTGCCTGTCTGTGAACCTAATTTTTAAATTGTAGGCTTCTGAGTGCCATGACGTGACCGTGGAGATCGGAGGACGACTGTGGGAAGTCAGTTCGTTCTGACCCCTACGTGGGTCCCAGGGAAGCTTGAGTAACCCCCCGCCAGACCATACTTCCACAACGCAAGGACAATAACCCTGCCATAGCAGCTTGCTTCCTATTTATTTATTTATTTTTATTTCTTGCCTTGCTGGGGTGAACCCAGGATCTTGTATAAGCCAGACATGTACTCTGCCACTGAGCCATTACGTTCTGTCCCTAACTTCCCTTTCAGTTGAACAGGGCAGGTTCTGAAGGAACACCGAGCAAGGCCTCTGGCTCTAAGACCGAAAGGGGACTAGAAGAGAACCCACCCGCGGTTGGCTGGCCTTGGTCCACAGATGCATAACACGCACGGATGAGGAAGGCACAGAGGACTCTGGAGTGACTTCAAAGCGCTAGGGCGGGTGTTATCAGAGATGAGGGTCAGGAGACAGACTCTGAGTGGACGCTTTGTGCGGAAGCCAAGTTCTGGAAACAAGATTGCAGACCCTGCTGGGACTTGGACTAAGGTGTGGTCCCAGTGGAGAGAGCACTTGGGCTATCCTGGGTTGGCTACACTTGGGCCTCTGCCCGTGCCTCTTGAATGTGAGGGGCACAGGAAAGAAACCATTGAAACTCTACGGTTAAGGGGAAAGTTTTTATTGGAGATAAGAGAGAGTGAGAGCAGCCAGAGGCATCTGTTGTGGCTGCCTCTCGGGAACAGGTCGGGTGGGAGAGAGAGAAATGGGGGGGAGAGAAGACAGGCAGTTCCTGGGGCTGTGAGAGCAAAGGCAGCAAAAGGCGGGAAAGCCTGCCCGTTATGCTGCGGCAGGAGGGGGCAGGTTAGCTGCAGTGGCATGGGAAGTAGTGTGGGGCTCTGATCCGTTGGAGGCTTGAGTTGAGAGAACTAGAAACCTCCAGAGACTGGGGGCTGTAGGAGCGGCTTTTCCTGACAAACAAGAGCCACTTTGCTTGGTTTCTAAGCAAAGTGGAGTGTTTACCAGGTAACTCAACTTTGGACCAAGTCGGTGGGCCTGTCCTTTTGGAGGACCCTTGGACCTGACACCTGAGTGGTGTGCTCAGCGGTTGGCTGTGGGTCCTCCCTCTCCTGGAACTGAAATCTGGCTCCACCCCTCAACCCTTCACACCTTCAGTTGTTCCCCCTACAACCATGTCTCCTCCATCTTCCCTCCTTAGCTTGTAGGGCTTTATTTAAATTTGCGATTGTGTGGTTCAGAACTCCGAGTCCAGGAAAGTCTTTTTGTTCTCCAGTTTCTATCCCGCATCGCACGGTCAGGAGCACCGGAATTATGGGTGCGTGCCGCTGCACCTGGCCCTTTGTAGCTTCCGGGATTGGAACTCGGGGCCTCACGCCAGCAGCAAGCACGGTTTACTCACTTGGCCTTCTGCCAATCCCATACCCGAACCACAGCTTTTGTTTTATTTTGTTTTTGAGACTGAGTCTCACGTGGTCCAGGCTGGACTCAAATTTGCCTCACAACCAAGGCTGTCTTTGAACTCCTGATCCTCCTGCCTCCACCTCTCACATTCTGGGTTTGCAGGCCTGCACCACCAGGTCCAGCTACAGTTGCTTTTTATTGTGCCCACAGTAATGGCCTTGGG